CCCTCCCCCTCCCCCTCCCCCCCAGCGGCCATAGCTCAGGAGGGAGACAAGGTGTGAGGACCTGGAATTCCGCTGGAATGACACTGGAGCACTACCCCAAGTTTACCTGCCAGTTCCGTGTGGAGAGGGGTCGCGGTGTTGGAGCTTGAACCCATGGCTTTCCCCCAGGCTCCGCATACTGTGCCTGAGCCATGTCTCCCAGTCCCGGTTCAGTAGTTTCAAATGGATCTGCAGTATCTAAACATTGTATGAAATCAAAAGTAGGCTTTGGCGGTAGTGGGGCCAAAACCGATTGTACAGAACAATCAGAGCCTGGAGTATAGAAGAAGACGGGGTGGGGGGTCGAGTTCCACTGCGTAGAGTCGTGAACGAAAAGCCAAAGATATAAATGACATTTTTAATCACATGTACAGCACGTTTTTGAGAAACACCTGCAGGGTCTGAGAGAGGCAAGGGATGGTGAGCTGGAGGCCAGCCTGGGCTGCCTTGGGGCTTTCTGGGCCCTGGGCCCTGGTGTGAGCTGCTTGCTCATCCCCACCCTCCCTGCCAGAGTACGTGTGGGAAAACAGTGCCTCCCAGAAAAGCACCCTCCAGACCCTGCTCCCGATGCAAGCTTTGGGGAAGGGCGGAACCTGAACCCAGATCTCCTAAGAAAGCATTTAGACTGGGAGTGGTGTGCACACTTGTAGTCCCCAGACAGGTGTTCCAGGTCAGCCTGGTCTACATAGTGAGACCTATTTCAAAAAACAAACAAAAAGTTTGTTTGCTTTAAAAGTTTATTTTTAATTGTGTGTGCTCATTGGCATGTGAATGTGTGCACGAGTGCAGGTGCTCTAAGAGGCTAGAAGCATCAGATCCTCCTGAGGCTGGAGTTAGAGGTGGTTATAATCCACTTGACATGGGTGCTGGGAACTGAGTGGGTTTCTGTAAGAGCAGTATGTGTGCTTAACCATCGAGCCATCTCCAGCCTCCTTAAAAGTTTTAGGTCATACCACCAAAGACTCCTGTGGAGTGAAGGAACCCAGGAAAGGGTTGCAGGGAACACTCTGGACATAGCACTGAGGTGGATGGATTGGGGAATGGGCCAGGTGTACGTCAAGTAGCGTCAGATCAAAGCATGGGCACCTTGACTGAAGTAACCTGACCTTGCCTTTCCCCTTGGCCTGTGTCACACCTGATAGAAGTCTTTAAGGCAGGAGCTAGTCCCAAAGGACCTGACCCTGACCATGCTCTGGGTAGGGCTCTGCCACATGGTATGGGTCCATTTGGCAGCTGAGATCAGGAACCTGGCAGCCACACTTCCATGATGGAGCCACAGTAAACACCTCGGACAGCCAGGTGTGGTGGCCATACCTGTAATCCTAGCACTCGCAAGGTCGAGAGGCTAGTGTGGGCCTCATCTCAGAAAAGACCCTGTCTCAGAAAACCACCCCCCAAAACCCTCAGATCCTTTGGTCATGAATGGGAATAGTCTGTGTAGCTGGTACACACAGAGTCTGTGAGGGGGTGTGGCCAGATAAGGGGGTGGAGTGACCCCTGAGGTGTGTCACTGGGAGCCTGCTTCTCCCCCTGGGCGTGTCAGCCTGTCTCTGCCCTGTCATGAAGTGTAGCTGGGTAAGTGGTGTTTTCCTGAGCCCTGGGTTCCCCTTGCCTGGGGCGCTTTTGCAAACACCAAACCTACAGTTGGGTGGAGTAAGGATGGCCTTGGGGTACACCATCCTTGCAGGTGGGCCACCGCAGCTGACCTGAGGATTCAGGCCGCAGTCAGGAGTGGCAGGAGCTCAGTGGTCTTTGTAGCCGCTCCATTTGCTTCTTGACTGGTCTGGTGCCGGTGCCTCTCCAGTTATCTGAAGGGAAAAGACCCGGCTGAGGAAGTCTTGTGTTTGTTTCCTTACCAAGCAGGTGCTGTTTTCTCAGATTACAGTCATTTCTGTGACATTCTTCTAGGAAGCAGCAGCAGCTCTAGATTGTTGGAAAGTCCCTAAGCAATTCACACGAAATTAAGTTATTTGAAGCTAGGCGTGCTCATACAAGTGATCTCAGCACAGCTCCTACAGTAAAAGGGGTCAGAAGATAAAGTCTTCCTCTGCTGCATAACAAGTTCAAGGTCATCCCAGGCTCCAGGAGACCCCGACTCAAAAAAAACCTAAACACTGTGAAACATTTAAAAGAATGCAGATAAGCTGTGGGGGCAATTTCCTGAGTTAGTTATTTAAATGTAATTTTAGGGGTGTGAGTAGCTCAGTGATTGAGCACCCTGTGCAAGGCCCTGGGTTCAGTCCTAGCACTACCACTGTACGTAGGTATGTACATACATCAGTAGGTAAAAAGTTGTGTTTTAAAATTTTATTTGGTTGAAGCTGGGCGTGGTGGCGTATGCCTGTAGTCCCAGCACTTGGGAGGCAGAGGCAGGCTGATCTCTGTGAGCTCAAGGCTAGCCTGGTCTACATAGTGAGTTCCAGGACAGCTGGGGCTACAAAGAGACCCTGCTTCAAAAAGATTAAAAAAAAATATTTTTTTTTTAAATTTTTTGTTTTATGTGTATGAGTGTATTGCCTGCATGTAAGTAAATGCACCCATGTCGTGCAATGCCCTTGGAGGTCAGAGAGGGTGTCATCAGATCCCCTGGAACTGGAGTTATGGATGCTTGTAATGGTTGTTAGCTGCCATATGGGTACTAGGAATTGAACCCTGGTTCTCTGCAAGAGCATTCAGTGCTCTTCAGAGACATCTCTCCAGCCCCCCCAAATTTGTGATTTTTAAATCTTGACATTCCTTGCACAAATGGCACAGCTGTTTTATCATGTGTTTAGGAAATAAATTGATAAAATTTATAAAACCTATTATGAATCATTAGTAAGTCAAAGTGAGTTAAGTTTAAATCAGATTTTTATTTTCGGTTGATATTCCACTGGTAGGGGTTTTCTGTACTGGGGGTAGGGGGGTGTATGTGGGGGTGGACGGAGTTGGGGAGTTGGTTCTCTCCTACTGTGGGTTCCAGGGTCCAAAATCAGGTCGTCAGGCAAAGCTTTTACCTGCTGAACCATCTTGCTGGCTCTACTTTTTTATATTAAAACAAGCTGCCACTTTGTACCAGAGTCAGTGCTACATGTAGAGAGAAAGAAACATCTCCTAAGCTAGTGGATAATTTGTTTTAACACCGAGAAAGCTGTTCTTTTAGTAATGTTTTTCTTTTAGTTTTAATGTTTATTTCTCAGTCATATGGTGGCTACTCTTTTACTTTATTTACCGAGGAGGAGCACATGCGGAGGTCAGAGGACAGTCTTCACGTGGCTTCTCTCTTTCCAGCATGTGAGCCTCAGGGACTGAACTCAGGCTGTCAGGGTTACGCAAGTACCTTGACCTGCTGAGCCATCTCGTCCACCTACACCCAGGTTGGCCTTGAACTGCTGGTTCTCCTGCCTCTACCTCCAAAGTGCTGGGATTACAGGCAGGAGCCACCATTCCCAGCTTTAAAAAAAAACGCTTTTCTGGGCCTAGAGAGATGGTGAAGTGGTTAAGAGCACTGGCTATCCTTGTAGAGGACCCGGGTTCAGTTCCCAGCAACCACATGGCAGCTCACGACCATCTATAACTCCAGTTCCTGAGGATCCACAGGCATTGCATGATGTGGATGCACTTACATACATGCAGGCAAAACACTCATACACATAAATAAATGAAAAAAATTTTGACTGCTTTTTTTCCTTACCATGTTGAGAACAACTTGGAGCCTCGTGCACCTGAAGACAGTGCTCTCCTACCCAGTCTTGTGTAGGAGTTCCTTGTGATTCTTCATCCCTCCTGGTTGTCTTCATCCTGAGATGAAAGCCCTAAAGTTTAAGGCCATTGGAGACTTGAATTACATACAGTATTCTGTATTATAGAGTCTGAGTGTAAGAGTTAGGGACTAAGTGGTATAAAAGGGAGCTGAGAGCATGGCTCAGGTGGTACAGTGCTTGTCTACCATGCCAGAAGCCGTGGGTTTGACCCCCAGCACCGCATAAACCAGGCATGGTGCACGCCTGTAATCCCAGCACTCGGGAGGTGGAGGCAGGAGGGTCAGAAGTTCAAGGCCAACATAGCTACAGAGCAAGTTTGAGGGCCAGACTAGGTTATAAGAGACCCTGCTTCAGAAAAGAAGAGGGTGGGGGGTCAGCAAGGTGGTTTAGGAGTAAAGGTGCTTGCTGCCAAGCCTGGTGACCGGAGTTTAATCCCCAGGCTCCAAAGGATGGAAGGAGAGAGCTGACTCCTTCAAGTTGTTCTCTGACCTCCAATACAGGCACCTTGGCATATATTCCTGTGTAGCCACCCCAATAAACAAGTAGAATAAAGGACAGTAGGGTTGGGGGTGCCCCTTAGCTGGAAGGTGCAGGTGCCCAGCAGGCAGGAAGCCCTGGGTTTGATCCCAGCTCTGCAAAAGAAGAAAGAACCAGACAGAGTTACCTACACACATGAGGACATGGCATCCACATGGGAGATGGAATGAAAATCTTCATGCTTTATCAGCAGAAACAACCCAGAGAACCCAAAGACCTCGGTCCTGTCATCTCAGCCCAGAGACTGTCCTTGGTACGGTCGGGATCAAGAAAGAATCAACTGCACATAAAAACCAGGAAGTGTTTGCTTGTAGGTCAGTGACTATGTGCAAAGCACTCAGCAGTTTTATTACCAGGTTACAACTTGACCAGGAAATGAACATAATGATGCCACAATGCTCTTGTTTTAATGTGTATTAAATAGAATGAAAAACCGAGTTTGCGGACTGGCCTTGAAACCAGACCACCTGTGTGCCCTCCTCCTTTGTCTGTCTGCTTCCACACCTTTCTTATGGTTCAAACTGGTCTTGAACTTACTATGTAGCTGAGACTGACCTTGAACTTCTGATCCTCCTGCCTCCTGAGTGCTGGGATCACAGGTATGCCCACACCCAGCCTCTCCCCCTCCCCACTTCCTTCCCTCGGTTCAGAAAATGGAAATCAGTTTTAGCAGGCTTGTCCTTCTGGTAGGATTGGGTACGTCAGAGTAGCTGAATTTTCTAACCAAGCTGCCCTTTTCCTATAGAAAGCTGAAAATGACTCCTGAACGGTCCTTGCCTCACTCCATCTAAGAGCTCCCCTTCAGTGTATCATTCTTCTCCCTCTGCCCGGACTCTAATCTCTGCTGCCCCAGTTGGTACTGGTCCTGCTCCTGCTCCTTCCAGTGGCTTCTGGACACCCAGATGACCACCCAGCAGCCGAGGCAGACGAGGGCGGCACCCAGGGCCACAGAAGCCAGCCAGGCCTCTGCAGTCAGAGGAGCCGTGTCCTGCGGCTCTTCGTTCCCAGATGTGTGGTTTCCGCTGTGGGACCCTTTCGTTCTGTTGAGTAATTGTTTGCTGCTGTTGAATCGGGATGGGATGGGCACCTGAGAGAGTTTCGTGCCTAAGGGCCCAAAGAAAGGTGTGGTCTTGTTCCCTAGATTGGGGGTGAAATCTGTGCGTGACACGGCGCTGACCTTGGCGGTAGAGACATTTGGGGAAATGAACCTTATCCCCAAATCTGTGCTTAATTCCCTGAGGTTTGTGTTTGCACCCAAATCTCCATGTGTGGGCAGGGCCTCTGTTGACGGCAGCATGCGGTTTTTTGTGTCTTCAAATGGCCCTTCGTTGTCTAGATTCATGGCTTTTAGAATCCGTAGTGTGTCCCTGCTGTCAGATGAGGAGCGGGTATTTAGATACGCCGGAGGTGACTGCTCAAAAACCAGCAGATCTGGATCTATACCTGAAAGATGAATGAGATCATTTGCTTTAATTTCTTCATAATTTTTATTTACTCTTTGACAATTTCATATACTTAACAATGGTTTATTTTTTATTTCAGTGAGGAATCCTTAGGCATAGCTTGGAGAAGTGTTGGGTTTTCCCTCCTTGAATTTGTGAACTAGGCTAAATTCCAGGTCTACCTCTGCAGACTTGTTAAAAGGCTAAGAAGCAGGCTGGTTCATCTGTTTGTCTTAACTTCCTGGACGCTCTGCTGTGAACAAAGAGGCTGAACGGAAGGAGAACCTGTGCCAGGTCCTTATGCAGCCGTGAGTGTGGTGGGGAGAGCTGCAGGCCCCGCAGCCGTGGGCGATGCCACACACCACCCTAACATCAACGGGGCGTGCTGGAGAAATGGCTTAGCGGTTGGGAACACTTGCTACTCCTGCAGAGGGTTTGGATCCCAGCATCCACATGATCGCTCACAACTGTCTGTAACTCCAGTTAAAGGAGATCCCGTACTCTCTTCTGGCCTCCATGGGCATCAGGCATGCATGCGGTGTACATATATGCATGCAAGCAAAACACTAATACACATAAAAATAAATCTTGAACTGGATAAAACAGGGCGGGGGGGGCACTCTTCAAAATCAAGAACAAAGTCCTTATCCCCAAGGGTCCTGCTTTGGTCGGTATTTTCTCCTCCTGTGTGTCAGCTTCTGTTGGGCATGTCCAGTTTGCCTTCAAAGGGGATGAAAAAAAAATTCCGTGAGCTGTTCAATAGTCCCTGCCAGGGACACTGTCTGTCTGCGTCTCCTTCCCTCCCCTCTCCCCTTTCTGACTTTGGCCTCTGAAGCAGTGATTTGTCCTGCATCATCTTGTCATAATTATGCTTCTGACTTCTGACCATCTGTGTCCCCGTTACTTGTCCTCAGACCTGTGGGACGCCCTGACTAGTGGACCTGGGCCTCCCTTGGCAGTCTACCCACACTGCCTGCCCATTCTTGACTTCTTTTACTGGTTGCACATGTTCCACGGTCTCCTTTGGTCTTCAGATGTTCTCACTGTGCCCCTGTAGACACCCACACAAGAAGCTGTCCTCAGCTGTCCCGACTACACTGGTGGCACCGAGATCCAGGTCGCCATGGCTTCCTTTCTAGGGCTCTGAACTGGTTTCTCCAGTGTTCTACCTGGCATGTCTGCCTGGACACCTCACGTCATCTCCAAGTACACCGAAGTCAGAACCCTGACCTCTGCCTCTTGCTCCAGCCAGTGCCTCGTTCTGGTCCTGCTCCCACGGCCCACCCTGGACTCTGCACTGCGAGCTGGCTTTTCACTCTTCATCCTCGATTTCCTTCGCTTAAAAGGGAACTAAGGGCTGCTGGGGGCGTCAATCAGCAGAGAGTACTTTATAGCTTGCACAAGGCTTGGTCTGATTCCCAGCGCTGTGTGCACGCACAGACACACACACTCCTGTTGAATCTTTCTGGTGTCCAGGTACATGTCCTGCTTCATAACAGCTGTCGTCATCTTGTGGTGCTGACGCGCCCGCTTTCCTACCCTGCACCCTCCTGTTGCCTATTTAGGACAAGGTAAACAAACTTGCCCGCTTTAGTTTTAATGTTTTCTCCTTGCATTCCTTTGTTGATTCCTCATTTCTATTGCTCTGGTTGAGCCAGGGCCTCACTATGTAGCCTAGGCTGACCTTGAATTGGGGGTGCTCCTGCCTCAGCCTCCAGAGCACTGGGATCATGTGTGTGCACTTCCATGATCAGCTTTGCTCTCTGCTCCTGAGAGTCAACCTGAAAACTCTGCCCATTCACACACACACACACACACACCGCCCTCTGTTCAGCTGCATTTCTTCTGCAGGTCCTAGTGTCTCCTTGTAGCCAGGCCAGGTGTCACACTGCCTGGGGCTGCTTCAGAGCTAGTCACCTGCTCCTGCCTGGCCTCCAACCAGAAGTTGGCCCAAGAAGAATGGACTACAGTTTCCTCTTGAAGCTTTTGTACTAAGGCAGTATCATGTTTGTGCGTGCGTGTGTGTGTGTGTGTGTGTATACTTCTACATGTCAGTGCACATGTGGAGATTGGAGGACAGCCTGGGGTGTTATTCCTCAGGCACCATCTACCTTTTTTATGACACAAGGTATCTCCTGACCTGAATCTCCCTCAATAATCTAGGCTAACTGGCCAATGAGACCCAAGGATCCTCTTGTCTTCCCAGTGCTGGGGTTATAAGCACACACCACTATGCATGGCTTTTTATGTGGGTTCTGGGGTGTGGACTTGGGCCCTTGGGCTTGCCAAGCAAGCACTTTACAGGTTGCACTGTCTCTCCAGCCCCACTTCACAAAAAAAGTGTGGTTGTAATCTGCAACACTGAGCCTAATCTGGGGTCTAGGTAGTCAGTACAGTACAAATCCATGAAGAAATGTGTCTTCTTTGCACTTTGATGCAAAAAGCTATTTTGTTTTTTGAGACAGGGTCTTGGTGTGTAGCCCTGGTTGGCCTGGTATTCACTGTGTAGTCCAGGCTGACCTCAAACTCGGGGTAACCCTTCCATCTCTGCCTCCTAAATTTTGAGATTACAGGTATGTGCTACTATGACCAGGTATAAAGTCTTTGATCATTTTTTACATTTGTCATTTGTGTGTGTGTGTGTGTGTGTGTGTGTGTGTGTGTGCCACACGTGGAGGTGAGTGGACATCCTGTGGGAATTGGTTGTCTTCTTCCACCAGGTAGGTTCTAGAATTCAGGTCAGCAGGCTTTGTGGTAAGTACATTTACCTGTGGAGCTGTGCTGCTGGCACTAAAGTATTTTCTAATGGTCACTATTTCCACCCTGAGACAATAAAGATACGTATCTCTGGGATGTGATGCAGTGATCATCTTGGGATCATGCGATGCTGCAGTCTGCCTGGTGAGATTCCCAGTCCCTGGCTTCCATGACTATGGCATACTATCACAACGACCACAGACCTTGAACCTGCCAGTTAGCATTTGCGTTGCTTCTCACCGGTACTCAGCCACAGCAGTGAAAACACCACTGTAGCTTCTGCTGAGGGTTCTCAAAATATGAGAACTACGGGCTTAAGCGCTGTTCAATTACGTATGATTTGTTATCTAGAATGAACTCAGCACTGCAGAACGTGCCAGGCTGAAAGAATCTCCTTTCAGTTTTCTGCCCCAGATGGCCAAACCGTTTCTAGACAGAGGCCACTGAGAAATAAAGGCTTATGACCGATGTGTTATTCCAGCCACTTCCCTAGGCCGTGCGCCTTTGCTGGAGTGCTGCCGCGGTCTTCAAAAGCCTGGCCCAGTGGAGTCCTCACCTGCCGTTATGTTGTACAGAATGGCACTGGTCCGCTGCTCCAGGATGCAGCTCTCCAGGCTTGGGCAGTGGACGTGGAGGCAGTTGAGGTTGTCGTGGATGGGATCATGGAAGAAGACCGCCATGTTGCAGGAAACTGAAATGGAAACAGCCAAGTGCTTCTGCAGAGAGTCTCCATTTCCATCAGTTGTATGTATGTTTGAGACAGGGACTCACTGCACAGCCCAGGCTGGCCTAGAACTTGTGACCCTCGCGGCTGAGCCTCCTGAGTGCAGGGATCACAGGGGCACATGGCCATGCCAGGCCTTGCTACCAGTCTGATGGGCTCTGAGTAACTTCCATTTCTTTTCTGGAATACCAGGTTGACACTGTCTTGTACTACGCTTAGACATTTTACAGAACAATTATGAACTATTATGCTGAACACAGAAAATGCCTTTTTGAGAGAAAACACCGATTTCAGGTACTCTTTTGTGCATTCCTTTTCCAGAGGCTACCTGAAGCATTTTCTTGTGTTTGGTTTTTGAGACCGTCTCGCTCAGTAACCCTGGCTGACTCGGCACTTGCTCTGGAGACGAACATCAGGTCTCAGATTTGCAGCAATTACACTGCCTGGTTCCCAAGTGCTGGGATGATGAGTGAGTGTTGCCGGAGAGAATCTGCCGTCATTTCTTAGTCTCAGTATTGTATGTGCATGAAAGGTTCAGCTGTCTACACAAACCTCGGGGATGGATGTGTCAGCTTTCTAGGTACAACGTGCTCTCAGAACACTAAGGTCCGGGGACCATCAGAGACAGAAACGGGACCATCAGGGGAAAGATGCTGTAACCACAGAAAAGGCAGCCACCAGGAGGACAGAAGTGCCGACAGCCTTCCTGGGAGAAGCTGGCAGGTGGAGAGCTTGCCGTGTGAGCGTCAAGGTGTGGACCTGCCCGGTACAAACCTCGTCCCACAAGAAGCCTAATCAATGTCACTTAAAGAGACAAGGATTCTGGGCTGAGGGATTCAGTGGGTGGAAAGGGGTGTTAGACTGCCTTTTCCAAATTTGCTCCTTGAAACATACTGTAACCCAGAGTCAGATTTATTAGCTGCAAACCTTCAGTGTGTCCTCCCCAACATGCAGTAAGACTTCACTCATCACACAGCAGCCAGGACTATGTGATGTGTCAGCTTGCCCAAAGGTATCATGTACTTTAATAAAACAGGATTACAGAGGTGTAGTATCCCACTGGGAGCATGCCGGGGCTGCTGTGGCGCCGTGCTGTGGAGCCCACCCTGCCTCTCAGGAGGCTTAGCTGTGGGGAGCTCAGCTCAAGCCTTGCTTCTGGGACACCCTCAGGTTTCTGCATTCCTTATTTTCATTCCAGAGGAGAAAGAATAGGACAAAAGTTGATTGCCAATATATTGCCAACACATTACAGATTGCAGAAGAATCCTCCAGGATGGTGCTGCAAGGTTTTAAGGGAAAGGAACTTTAAAAGTTCTCATTTAATAATTAGATTTGGGGATAAGAAAGTTGTTGGTTCTGTAGAAAACTATCTTTTATTGTTTTTGTGTTGTTGAGGCAGGATCTCACTGTATAGCCTAAACTGACCTTGAACTCACTATGTAGCACAGGCTGGCTGGCCTGTTTCCTTATGTATCTCAGGCTGGCCTCAGACTCAAGGTAATCCCACATCTCAGCCTCCAGAGTGCTAGGATCACAGGAGTGGGCCGCCACACCTGGTTTATAGGGCGTGATCTTCAAAGATGTTTTCTCTGGAGCCTTTGGTGCACACCTGTAAACTCAGCATTCCAGAGGCCAAAGAGGACCTTGTGAGCCTGGGCCAGCCTGGGCTACTTCAAGGAAGGGACAGAGGGAGGAAGGAAGGAAGGAGGGAGCTATTTTGTATGTCTTACGTACATTTAGGAGCTCCAGCTCTACAGAGTGTGGTAAGTCTGGGCTGCTGCCTTCCTGCCATTTCTTGTCTAAAAGAAGTAAGCCACATTCGCAGCCCCAGAGGTCTGAAATGACAGAGTGTGCCTATGTGACAGCAAAGTTCTGAAAATTCAGGGCTGGAGAGATGGCTCAGAGGTCAAAAGCACTAGCTGTTTGCAGAAGACCCAGGTTTGATTCCCAGCAACCACATGACAGCTAACAACTACCCAAAACTCCAGTTCTAGGGGATCTGATGCCCTCTTCTGACCTCCATGGGACTGCATGACACGGGTGCACTTACACACATGGAGGTATAACAACTGCACACATTAAAAATAAATAAATATAAACCACATGGCTCAGTGGTTAAGAACACTGGTTGTTCTTGCAAAAGACCCAGGTTCAAATCCCGGCACCCACATGGCAGCTAACAGCTGTCTATAACTCCAGTTCCAGGGGACCCAACGGCCTCTTCTGTCCTCCTTGGGCATTGCATGACACGGGTGCACTTACCTACATGCAATACACACATACACATAAAATAAAAATTAAAGAAAACAACTCTGGAAATGCAGGGCTACTGTGTTTGTGGTGTGTAGACTCAGGTAAATCCGCACCATGGAACAATGTAGAAAGGGGTGACATGGACTTAGGGGACAAGCAGTCCAGAAAGTGGAAATTTAGATTGACTTTTTTTTGGTGTATGTGTGTGTGTGTGGGGGGGGGTTAATGTGGGTGTGAGCATGCCACAGCATGCAGGTCGAAGTCGGAAACAACAGTGGGTGTCCACCTTCACCTTTCACCTTGTTTGAGCTGGGTCATTGATGTTTCGTACCCCAGGCTGGCTGGCCTAGGAGCTTTCAGGATTCTCCTGTCTCTACCTCTCCTCCGCCACTTGGGGCTGCTGGGATTACAGGTGTTCACATTACTAGGGCAGGCTGGTTCTCACACTTGTCCTGTAGGCACTTTAACTGTTTTATGTTTATTTCAACAAGAATTTAGGTAGCCCGGGCTGGCCTCAAACTCACTAAGTAGCTGAGGATGACCTTGAACTTCTGATCCTCCTGCCTTCGCCTTCGGGGTGTACACCACCTACCCCAGCCTGGGTTTATGTGGTGCTAGAGATGGAACCCAAGGCCTCTGGTACCCTAGGCAAGAGCTCTACCATCTGAGCTATGTCCCTAGCCCTTGACTATGTTTTGAAAAGACTGAGCTTCATTAAACTGGTTCTTTGTGCCTTTCTAGCTTTGGAGGTTGTGACCTGTGACCACCTCTCACAGTGTGACCCTGGGCAGTATGACTGTACTCTCTAACAAGCTCTAAATTTTATTTCAGAAATTTGCATGCTTAACTGGGTAAGAGACATTGGCAACTAATAATCCGTATCAACAAGCTGGAGAGATGGCTCAGAGGTTAAGACGCTGGCGCTGCTTTTACAGAGGACCTGGGCTTGGTTCCCAGCACCCACATGGCAGCTAACGACCACCTGGAATTCTAATTCCAGGAGATCCGATGCCCTCTTCTGGCCTCTATAGGCAGTGCACATATGTGCACATAGATACACTCAGGCCTACACACATACACATAAGGTAAAATAATAAATCTTTTAAAAGTGAAACCAAATTGCTATTAAATTATGGTTAAGAAGGTGGACAGCCATGGGAATGGAACTTTTCTCAAGCAGCCTTAAAGCTATGGGAAGCTGGGATAAATGAAAGACATGCAAAACTGCAACAAAGTTTCCTTATTGAAAGGTTTTGTGATTTTACAGATGTTTATGCCCAGGTCCCACTGACAGAGAAAAAAAGTCTGTTAGATAAATTTAAAGGCTGGACTCTCTTTTCTATTTAGCATACATCTCCCTGTATGTTTTGAACACGATCCACATCCTCATTTCCTATTCAAGACACCCCAAATTTCATAACCTATGAAAACGCATTTTATAAAACTGGTATGATAATGTCTCCAAAAGTTATTTTTTAAAGGGAAACTATTAAACGAAGCACGGTGGTGTGTGCCTGTAATCCCAGCACTTGGGAAACTGTGGCAGGAGGATCAAGAGTTCAGGGCCAGCCTCCATTGCAAAGTGAGTTCAAGGCTGCCTAGGCTACATGAAACTACATCTTAACAAAACAAAAAAGCCAGGTGTGGTGTTGCATACCTTAATCCCATACTCAGGAGGCAGAGGCAGGAGGATCTCTGAGTTCTAGGTCAGTCACGGCTATACATCAAGACCCTGTTTTAAAACAAACAAAAACAAAAAGCCTAGTACATAAATAATATTTTTAAAATAAATTATTATAAATTATTTTTTGTTTGTTTGGCTTTGGTTTTGATGAGACAAAGTCTCATGTAGCCCAAGCTGGTCTTGAACTCTTCATTCCCTTAATTCCAGCTAAATTCTGGGATTATAAGCCATAGCCATGTCACCCAAATTATTTTAAATATTTTGGGTTATGAAAATGTTATTAGTTATCCCTGGAAGGAATATTTGCGCTTAGCACTTTTTTGAAGTAGACAGGATCCCTGTTGACTCCATAGTGTTTACCAATGCTACTTTGGAAAAGCGCCTTCCCGGAGCCCCTCCCCTCATCCCGGAGGTCCTCCCTGGCCCTCTTCCTGGGCCTCATCCCCCGACAGGCCCCTTGGGTGCTCCGCGAGCCCTCCTGGCTTTCCGTCCTCCCTCCCGGCTCACCTCCTCTCTCCCGGCTCTCCGTCCTCCCTCCCAGCTCTCCGTCCTCCCTCCCGGCTCACCTCCTCCCTCCCGGCTCTCCGTCCTCCCTCCCGGCTCACCGTCCTCTCTCCCGGCTCACCTCCTCTCCCGCCTCTCCGTCCTCCCTCCCTTCCCGGCTCTCCGTCCTCCCTCCCGGCTCTCCGTCCTCCCTCCCGGCTCTCCGTCCTCCCTCCCGTCTCACCTCCTCTCCCGCCTCTCCATCCTCCCTCCCGGCTCTCCGTCCTCTTCTCCCGGCTCTCCACCCTCTCTCCCGGCTCACCTCCTCCCTCCCGGCTCGCCGTCCTCCCTCCCGGCTCTCCGTCCTCCTCTCCCGGCTCTCCGTCCTCTCTCCCGGCTCACCTCCTCTCCCGCCTCTCCGTCCTCCCTCCCTTCCCGGCTCTCCGTCCTCCCTCCCGGCTCTCCGTCCTCCTCTCCCGGCTCTCCGTCCTCTCTCCCGGCTCACCTCCTCTCCCGCCTCTCCGTCCTCCCTCCCTTCCCGGCTCTCCGTCCTCCCTCCCGGCTCTCCGTCCTCCTCTCCCGGCTCTCCGTCCTCTCTCCCGGCTCACCTCCTCTCCCGCCTCTCCGTCCTCCCTCCCTTCCCGGCTCTCCGTCCTCCCTCCCGGCTCTCCGTCCTCCTCTCCCGGCTCTCCGTCCTCTCTCCCGGCTCACCTCCTCTCCCGCCTCTCCGTCCTCCCTCCCTTCCCGGCTCTCCGTCCTCCCTCCCGGCTCTCCGTCCTCCTCTCCCGGCTCTCCGTCCTCTCTCCCGGCTCACCTCCTCTCCCGCCTCTCCGTCCTCCCTCCCTTCCCGGCTCTCCGTCCTCCCTCCCGGCTCTCCGTCCTCCTCTCCCGGCTCTCCGTCCTCTCTCCCGGCTCACCTCCTCTCCCGCCTCTCCGTCCTCCCTCCCTTCCCGGCTCTCCGTCCTCCCTCCCGGCTCTCCGTCCTCCTCTCCCGGCTCTCCGTCCTCTCTCCCGGCTCACCTCCTCCCTCCCGGCTCGCCGTCCTCCCTCCCGGCTCTCCGTCCTCCCTTCCGGCTCACCTCCTCCCTCCCGGCTCTCCGTCCTCCCTCTCGGCTCACCGTCCTTCCGGAGGCAGCAGCTCCGACTGCACTTCTGGCCGGTGTTCTCCCAGTAGTACTTGAGGAACCGGGCGCCCAGCCTCTGCGACTCCTCCAGGTCCAGCAGCAGCCCCGGGAAGCGGCGGATCCAGCAGTCCCGGTACTGCACGGTGGGCGAGCAGAGCCGGTGCGCGGTCCTCGCCGGGCCCAGCAGCAGCAGCAGCAGCATCAGGCCCGCGGCCGCCGGCGCCGCCATCTCTCTGGAAGACGGGCGGCCGGCGCGGCCTCGGGGCAGAAGCTGGCGCTGAGCATGGGGTCGGGGTTCGGGCCTCCGGGCTGGGCGGAGGGCGAGCTCCCCCCGGGCCTTCGCGGAGGGGCGGTGCCCCGCACGCCTTTTCTCCCGGCCGAGCCCCAGGCGAGCCGGCCTCTCAGGTCTTTCCAGCGTCCTGACCCTGGTCGGTTCCCCTCCTGGCTTTTCTTCTCCCTTCAGACAAGAGTCACAGACACCTTTCCAACGCAAAAATAAAGGAAACCCTAGTCAGGAGTCTTAATGAGAAAAACAGTGTTTCTGAGGCCTTCTGACCTCAGATAAAGGGAGCCTGTTTCACAGAAACAAGACCTTGTTTTGTGAGGCGTTCTGTAGGCTAAGGAACTGCATTTTGTTCCCTATCAGCTTAAAGTCCTTTGAATTTAAGTTCTGGTGTTCAGGCCCCTAAGAAAACCAGTTCATGTATTACTTTAAAATTTTATTTTTCCCTTACCCGGATGTGGTAGCCCACGCCTTTAATCCCAGCACTCGGGAGGCAGAGGCAGGCGGATCTCTGTGAGTTCAAGGCCAGCCTGGTCTACATAGTGAGTTCCAGGACAGCTGGGGCTACAGCTGTCTCAAAAAGACCAAAAAAATTTTTTTTTTATTTTTCCCTAAAAAAACTTAGAAAAGAAAGAAAATTTAATTTAGTTTTACATTTTAATTGTTCAGTGATTGTAAAACTACCACGTGTAAATCGTAATCATTTCTTGGAGCCAGTGACAAGCTTTCTTCTGAAAAGAGAACTAAAGATTCAACCCCACCTCCACCCCCAAATGCTCACCCTGTAGGTGGAATACAACACCCGGTAAAGGATACATGTTTCAGGGCCAGTGAGATGGCTCAGCAGGTACAGGCATGAACTGTGCAAGCCTAATGACCAGAATTCATCCAGAACTCACATAAAGGTGGACAGAGGGACCAGCACCACAAAGCTGTCCTCTGACCTCCACACGTGTGCCCCTACCATACATAGACACAGACAGACACACACACACACACACACACACACACCCCTCACCACCACCACCGCCGCCGCCAACAACTGTATATGGACAGACAGACACACACACACATACACACACACACCCCTCACCACCACCACCGCCGCCGCCAACAACTGTATATGGTTCAACCAAGAGTAACTGCAATTTAGAGTAAAAATTATGAGGTGGTTTAAGGAAGGGGACAGCCTGCCCTCTGAGGTTACATAGGCCAGTGATGAAGCCTGTTAGAATTTGGGGTGAGAAGGCGACGTGATAAAGAAGTAGAGATGGAATCCGACCTTCAACAGATGCATCTAGTTTTTAGCCAGAGGGGTGCGCTACCTTTCCTCAGGAATGGAGGTTGGGCATAGGGGTTGGGGAAGGTCTGGGATTTATAGGTGGACCCAGAAAGTTCCAGAAAGGGGGCCACACCTTTCTGGAGTCCCAGAAGGTGGGGGCCTTCCTGGGTGGTGTCCTGCCCCTTCCTGGGATCTGGGAAGGAGAGATGGGGAATTCTGATAGGGGAACCAGGTATCTTCTGCTGGGTGGTTGGTAAGGAACCAGATCTGCAAAGAAACGGATAAGAAACCACATGTCTTTTGCTAGGGGCCCTGTGTTCTGAGGTAGACATATCCCTCTCCTGGAGTGGGGAGGCAGTCTGGGGGAATGGTCAGTTCAGTCACTTGTCAGGCTGATTTTCCTTCAAAAAATGTGCACAGAAAGGAACGGTATCTCTGGCTGAAACAGAACTAGTTACTATAAAAAACTGTGTACTAGGAGTCTGGGCGAGGTGGGGCACACCTTTAGTCCCAGCACTCAGGGAGGCAGAGGTAGGCAAATCTCCTTGAGTTGGAGAGAGCAAATTCCAGGCCATTGGGGCTACAGGGAGACCCTGTCTCAAAAAGACCAAAACAAACAAACAAACAAAAACGTGTACTAGAGAGGTGGAGAAATGGTTTTACATTTCCAAACATGAAGAGATTTCCTTCAACTGCTGTGAAGACGGGCCTGTGACAGCTGAGGGCTCCCAGTCCCACAGGCTGCAAGGTGCAAGGTGCCATGTTAACTTGAAGGATGAAACAGCTGCCTTTTGTAGCTGCTTTCTTTTCTTTTACAGATCTATCTGAAATTAAAAAGGTTTTTTATATCTGAGTGACCTAGGTGTATGTAAATGCACCTGTGTGTTGCAGTGCCCACGGAGGCCAGAAGAGGGCATTGGAACTGGAGTGAAGGATGGTTGTCCAAACCCAGGTTCTCTGCAAGAGCCACAGTGCTCATAACCAATGAACCATCTCTCCAGACCCTATTATCTGTTTTCTTGGTGATAATGAACTTTTGGAGTGAAGTTCTGTACTACGCCTTAATAAAGATGAAATGGGCTGGAGAGATGGCTCAGCGGTTAAGATACTGGTTGTTCTTGGAGAAGACCTGGGTTTGAATCCCAGCACCCACATGGCAGCTAACAACTGTCTGTAACTCCAGTTCCAGGGGATCCGACAGCCTCTTCTGTCTTCCTCGGGCATTGCACGACATGGGTGCACTTACCTACATGCAGGTAATACACACATACACATAAAATAAAAAATAATAAAAAAAGATGAAACTTTCCCTAATCTTCAAATCTGTGTTTCTTAAGCTTTTTGCATAGTGATGAGTTTATATAATTGACCCCAAAATGTTAACATGCTTTGAATTTGCATCTTTCCACCTATTTCCTAGTGGAATCTTCTCACCACGTCTTTTAATTTTTAGTAACATAAATAATGGATTATGAAGAGGGGAACACTTGAGGCTGAATATTCTTTAAAATGATTTCACTTTCTCATAAGCAAAAATTCCATCTTGTACTAACCCTAACCTTGCACATATAAAATACACTAAAATGATAATCACTCCAAAATTCTTGTAGAAAAGGTCAGTCCAAGGGCTGGAGAAATGCTCATGGGTTAAGAGCACTGGCTGCTCTTGCAGAGGACCCAGGTTCAGTTCCCAGCACCCACATGGTGGCCAACAACTGTAACTCCAGTTCCAGGGGATCTGACACCCTCTTCTGACCTCCTAGGGCTCTGCATGACATGGGTGCACTTACATGCAGTCAATACACGCGTATACAGGAAATAAAAATAAGATTTTTTTTTTAAAAAGAAGGGGTCAGCCCCTTGTCTCCAAGCTGGTTGTTCCATCTCTTTTAAGGGGAAGAGACATTTCCCAGGGGCCAGCCAAGGGACAGATGTGTAGGAAAAGTTGCTTTGTGTTTTGTGGGATTCCATGGCTGTTTCTACTGGGGGTGCTCTTGGGTCTCTCATGACGCCCAGTCTTTCGTGGCTTTCTTGTGTTCCCCGCTGGAATCATGGAACAGTCCACAGTTGTTCAACCTTTTGCTGGCCAGTGGTATTCCAGTGAAGGTCGAAGTCCCAGGGGAAAGGCTTGATACAGTTTTTGTGGTGATTACATAAAGGTGGAGTCTAGAAACAAGTAACATCTTAGGGCTAAGTATTTTGAAAAGAGAAGTTAGACAGTGGAATGTAGGGGCTGAGGGCATCCACAGAACCTCAAAACCTGCCCCGGTGAGAGGAAAGTGCAAAACCAGGATGCCTCAGAAAGCGAAGCAAGAGGCAGCTCATCACCATGGTTACAAATCCCATCAATCACCCAGAGAGGTTGACTGCACACGGGCCATCGGTGATACATTACAGGGCAACATAGTGAGACCCAGTAACAAAAGTTAAAAAAGAGAGAAGAGAGCGGGGAATATGGCTCAGTGGTAGCACTCTAGGCTAGGGTTTAGTTCCCAGCACCACAAATAAAGTTATAATGACTATACACTATTCCACTCTTTATCAGTACCCACACTTATTTGGCACCATAGCTTTCTAAGCTATAAAACATTCTAAAAACTGGGAACTCAGGGGATGGCTCAGTTGACAAAATGCTTGCCTAGCAAGCATGAGGACCCCAGCACCCACATAAAAGGCCAAGTGTGGGGCACAAGGTTGTAATCCCAGCCCTGGGGAGGCTGAGACAGGTGGATATGTGGGGCTCACTGGCCAGACAGCCTAGCTTACTAGATGAGCCCCAGCTCCCGGTGAGTGCCTATCTCAAAAAATAAGGTACACAGCACCTAAGAGGCAATGCTGGAGGTTGACCTCTGGCCTACACACATGTGCACATGTACAGACACACACACATATGCACATAGACATACATACACAACACAAAATAAATAAAAATTTCTAAAAATAGTATTATCCACACAAAGCCCTGAAGGACAGTGGCACACAGTACTCAAATTCATAATTATATTCTTGGGGCGGAGAGATGGCTCAGCGGTTAAGAGCCCTGACTGCTCTTGCAGAGGACCCTGGTTCGATTCCAAGCACCCACGTAGTGGCTACAAACTGTCCTTAACTCCAGTTCCCGGGGAATCCGAAGCCCTCTTCTGACCTCTGCGGCATTGCACACACGGGTGCACTCACATACATGCAGGCCACACACTCAGACATGTTAAATAATAAAAATAAAATATTTGAAAATAATTATATTCCTATTTTGCATTATGTTGATTTCCATTTTTACCACTAAAAGCTATACTTTAGCAAACATTTTGTATTAAGATTTTTTCCCCACCAAGTCCAGGAGTGGTAGCACATATCTTTGATCCCAGCACTCAGGAGTCACATACATGCAGGCCACACACTCAGACACGTTAAATAATAAAAATAAAATATTTGAAAAAAATTATATTCCTATTTTGCATTATGTTGATTTCCATTTTACCACTAAAAGCTATACTTTAGCAAACATTTTGTATTAAGATTTTTTTCCCACCAAGTCCAGGAGTGGTAGCACATATCTTTGATCCCAGCACTCAGGAGGCAGATAACAGGAAAACCCCTCTGAGTTCAAGGTCAGCCTGGTCTACTTAACAGGTTTCAGGCTACACAGTAGGACCCTGGTTCAAAAAAAAAAAAAAATTCTGTTTGATGGTGAGTCTTTCGGGCCTTGGGCGGGGGGGGGGTGGGGCGGGTCATGGTTCCCTGCGGAACAGCCGTGTTCATTGTTTTGATGATTAGTCAATCACGGATCTATCCAGCTTAAATCATTACATTAAGCAATACTTTCACAAAGCCTCAAAATAATGCAAAGGAGTTTATATTGCTTTGTCTTTGCATGTCTAGCTTCCTAGAATACTCAGTGTGTGATTTACTAAAACGATTGGATCTTTGAAGATGTCCCCGGTCCTCAATAATGTCATTGTGTTGGCAAGGGCCAAAAAGCTTGCAGGATTATTGCCCAGAATTGTCAGATAACACCCCAGATTGCAGTCCAGCCTGATCTCACTGTGTAACGTGACCGTGTCTCTCTAATACACAGAATTCACCGAGCTTGGCTTTTTGGTCTGTTTTTAAAAGGCAAGAGAGTACCAGTCTAAGGCATATCTGTGGCAGGAAACAAAAGCATCCATTGGTAAAGATTCTAAAGAGCCAGAGAGACTAAGAGCCTGTTCTTCTGGTGACCCACTGAATCCTGCCTTGTCGCTGATGGAGGCACAGGCAGATCCAGGTCGGGCATCTTTGATGTCAGCCCTCCCAGCAAAGTCCCGGCTTAATGTGTAATGGTGGATGTGCCACTTGCCTTGCCGAAGAGACTGTTAACTCCTTGGCCCCTCACCGTCCCCTCATACCCCAAATACCAGGAGGGAGTGGTAGGCAGGAGGCCAGCTGAAAGTCTGCAGGAATGATTCAAGGCCGTTAGTCACAGGGAAGCCTCCTAAGTTTTTCACAGAATCCGAGGATTAAAAAACAAGTCATGGGGGATTCATGTTCTCTCCTTTTCCTCCAGGAAGGCCATGATCTACCAGAGGTCTTTCTGTGTTTCCTAAATGTCTGTTCTCTTGCTCATGCTGTGTAGAAAATAAAGAAAGGCTAGCAGTGCCTCGCTGAAGCCACCGAGTGACGAGTTGGAAGGCTCTCAGGTTTGCCCAGTAGGACTTTGTCTTGTCTGCCCTTCAATCCTTCCCCTGCCTAACAGCCAGACTGTAGGACCAACCTTCAGTTTGAAATAGGCGACGTGTATTTATGATGATGTTTGATAGCCTGTCCTTGAAGGATGCTGAAATTTGTAATTTAAGAAACTGGATTGGGGATGTGGCTCGGCAAAAGATGCAGGTGCAAAGACAGTGTTGAAATTGAGGGCTAGAAGAGTTGTTTTCAGACACTGGTCAAGGGAGGGTCACACAAAGATGTTCTGAGACAAATGTGAACATCTAGACTCGCAGCACTTGGGAGGCTGTGGCAGGAGGGCCAAAGCAAGCTTGAGGGAGGCTGCAGAGGGGACTCAGTGGTTAAGAGCATTGGCTGCTCTTGCAGAGGACCTGGGTTCAATTTCCAGAACCCACATGGCAGCTAGCAACCATCCTGTCCAGTTCCAGGGGATCTGACGCCTTCTCTGACCTCCACGGGCATTGCACGACAAGGGTGTATTTACACTCATGTAGGCAAAACATTCATACATAATATAAAAATAATTTTTTTGTCTTTTTGAGACAGGGTCTCGCTATAGCCTCAGCTGGGCTGGAACTCACTATGTAAACCAGGCTGGCTTTGATCTCAGAGATCCACCTGTGTCTGCCTCCCAAATGCTGGGACTAAAGGCTTGCACCAAAGAATAAATACATTTTTTTAAAAAAGCAAAGTTGTAGTCAGTCTGGCTATATAGTGAGTTTGAAGCCAGCCTGGGCTACAGAGTGAGACCCTGTCTGAAACCAAAACAAACCAAAAAGTGAACAGACTCTGCTCCTCACAACCTGCCCCTCCTGTCAAAAGAGGAAAATCACAACAAATTTAAAGATTAATTGGCTTTTATTTTCAATTTGAGAACCAGGCAACACCTCATTCCAAAATTCAACAAGGGTTTGGATTAACAAAGCAGGGCAGGTTGGGTTCATGAAACAGAAAGGCTTCAGGGAGCTGGGGCAGAGCTAAACATGGAAAGTAATTTCAGTTTTCAGGTTTTTTTTTTTTTTTTTTGAGACAGGACCGCTACCTACCTTCCTTCCTTCCTGCCTGCCTTCCAATTTTTTTTGATAGTGTTTTAGTCTGTAGCCCAGGCTGGCCTTGAATTTACCGGCATCCTCCTACCTCAGTGTCACAAGTCCTGAGACTACAGGTATGAGATACCATGTTTGGCTTTTACTGACAACCCTCCCGCCCCCGCCCCAGCCCATCCCTGAGTATGAGTCCTGCAGATTGAATTCAGGACCTCTTGTAATGCTAAACAAACACTCTACCACTGAGCTACATCCTCAGTCCTACCACACGGTCTTGGCATGAGGCCAAGGCTGTCCTCAAACTCTAGATCCTCCTGTCTTGGCCTGAGTGCTGGGGTTCTAGGCATGTGCAACCATGCTAGGCGCGCAGCGACAGCTCAAGGGCTTTCCTCGCCATGCTGGCTGAAACTAGCCTGGTGTGCTGCTCCCCTGAGGTAACAATGTGGAGGCAGATGAAACAGCTTTGTGCTTGGTGAGAGAGAACTTTACCATGAGTCAGTCAACTTAGATTCATTTGATTGATTGATTGGGTTCGGCTCAGGAACCCAGTCCAAACCAATGGCCTCCTATGAATTTCATTTTTACATACTGTCAAAGATGATGTAACAATTTAAAGTCTTATCAGGAAACACCTGAAAATAGAGTGTTTTCGTGCTCGGAGCAAAGGAAGCTGGTTTTAAGGCCTGAGAGAAAGCAGCTATTTCAGAACAGAGCCTGTCTGCTTTGGAGTCACTCTGCTTGTACAGCAGGGGCAGGCAGGCTTCCAGAACACTGAAGACAGCAGGGTCAGGGGATTTCAGGTAATCTCTTTGGGGTAAGGATTAAACCAGAAGGAATTCTAAAATCTTGCCAAACGAAACTGCCCATTTGGGAAATTTAGCTATTACAGCTCTAATCTTAGTTTCTTGGAAGGGCAGATAAAGAACTGGAACTCTGTGATATAGAAATGTGCTGTGAAGGACTCCATGTTGAGTCTTTGCCTGGCCCACGGGGGCCTACTGTGGGAGCTTCATGCAAAGCCATGGCCTCTTGTAATTCTCACCTAAGAACGCCCATAGGTCACCTAACCATCCTTTGCTCTACTCCATTTTATTATTATTTGTTTTTTGCTCTTTTTGAGACAGGGTCTTTCTGTAGCCCCAGTTGTCCTTGAACTCACAGAGATCCACCTGCCTCTGCCTCCCAAGTGCTGGGATTATAGGCATGTGCCACCATGCCCAGCTCTACTCCATTTTAGAATAAATGTCTATCTCTCAGACAACACAAGGTCCTTCGTTATTGGAGTAATGGATGGGGGTGTGTGTGTGTGTGTGTGTGTGTGTGTGTGTGTGCGTGCGCGCGCGCGCGCTGCTGGGGGGTACAGTAGGGTCTCTCATACATGTCAACACTAACCCTAACCCTAACCACATCAGTACAACCCCAGCGTTTATGGACTAAGCCTTCTCACCCCCACCCCAACACCCAGCCAGGGAAGATGGGACAGAAGTGGTGTATCTCCTAACAGCGCACTGATGAGGGGGATGAGGCGGCCAGGTAAGAAGGTCTCAGAAAAGCTACCTCTGTAGCCATACTGGCAACGGCAGTCAGCCTTCCACCCAGAGGTGCTGTTCTGTCTGACCAAACAGAAGCAGGAAAAGCAGTTGGGTTACAAAGTATCATCTGGTAAGAACAGTGTAACAGTGTTGTGTGTGGGAATGCCAGACTTCCTTGTTTGCATAACCAAACTCTATTCATTAAAAACCAAAAACAACAAAAAGCAAAACCAGGCAGGACAGATGGCTCAGGGGTTAAGAGCATTGGCTGCTCTTGCAGAGGACCGGGGTTCGATTCCCAGCACCCACACGGCGGCTACAACGGTCCTTAACTCCAGTTCCAGAGGAATCCGAAGCCCTCTTCTGATCTCCATGGGCACTGCATGATACGGGCACACTTTACATACATGCAGGCAATACACTCATACACTTCAAAACCAAACCAAACCGGTCTGGAGAGATGCTCAGGGGTTAAAAGCCCTGGGTGCTCTTGCAGAGGACCCAGGTTCAGTTCCCAGCACCCACACGGAGGCTAACAACTGTCCGTAACTCCAGTTCCAGGGGACCCCACACTTCTGACTTCCTGGGCACTGCACGACGCGGGTGTATTACACACATGTGGACGACGGACCCCGACACATAAAAGTGACACTTATTTGCGAGGCAGGGGCGCGTGGCGCACGCGGCCAGGCCCAGCGCAGCTC